TTGAAATATTTCATTGTTTTTTTTTTCAATTTATCAAAAAGGAAATTTTCTTATCGGTAATTTCTTTTGCGTATATTTCAAAAAGTTCAGTTTGAAAAGAACAATTTGCAATTGAATGAAATTTATCACACGGAATGAATAATTAAATAATTAATTTGATATGGAATACTACAGTTGAAAATTTATAAATCTTATTTGAAATTTCAAAATTATTTCAAAATCAGTTCTTTTTCACAAATTATTAAAAAAGGAAGCAATGAGAAGATGAAAATCCATGTTTCACTTAATTGGATGAAATTATCAATATCAAAGAATCTCACATTATCATATTATCAGTAACTGAACTTACTAATTTAGTAAAAGTAAAAAAAAAAAAGTAACTTAATAAGAAGATATCAGTTTTTGAAACGACGAATATAATTTCAAAAATAGTTCTTACATTTGCACATATTAATCAGATGATTAGTTCGATAGCATTTGCAATATTTAGGTCAAAATAATTTTAATTATTATTAATAAGACAGCAGAAATTGTAGAAACGAATAGAACAACGATAGAGCAAAATGAATTTCTTTTCTTTAATTCCTATTTCAACGTTTATCTCATCAAAATTGAAATATTTTAATAAAATGAAAATTTTGAAATAATGAAAATAAATTTATTATAATAAAATTTGTGATAAAATATTTTAAAATAATTAATATAATTAATGATAAAATAATTTCCAAATAATTAAAATAATTAATGATAAAATATTTTCCAAAATTTATACTAAAATAACTGTTTTATTTAACTTTTTGATATTCATTACAGAAAATGAATATAAAATAATTATTTCGATGTGAAATATAATAAATGAATGTCTATAGTTCAAATATTGTGAATATTTAATAAAATAATTACCAAATAAAATCCAACAAAATAATTTTTCACTTTTCATTAAATGTTAAAATATTTTTTTCCTTCTTTGTGACACTCTCAGTTTCACAAAAGAATTTAAAAAAAAGAAAAAAACTTTGTTGTAAACCAATTTCTACTATATATGAAACTAAATTAATTTGCTAATAACACTTAAATTTATCAATTTTGCTGCAAAAAAGCTCACTTAAATTCGGTTCAAATTAATATTTCAAATTCATAATCTTTGTCAAATCTAATTTTTTCTCGAAGAAAATTAGTCTAACGATTGATCAATCTAGCGATCAAATATTTTCTAATAATTTTATTAGTCAACAAAATCTTTATGAGACAAATATTCGTTAGTGATAACAACGAACGATCACAAAACAAAATTTTCATAAAAATTAATACTTGGTGCATTAATTTAAGATAGAGTAAAGATTTTGTTTATTGTTTATTGTTTTTTATTTGTGCGCTAATGTCACTTAGTTTTGAGATAAATGCATGAACACGTATCGTTTATAAATAAAATGTTACTTATTACTTATTTTCTTATTTGAAAAGAACCAAATTTTGCTTGTTTATTTGTTTGTTTGTTTTTATTTTTTTGTCATATATTTAATGTTTGTCTGTTTAACTCGTTCAACTCTTAACATCAACTACTGATTTGTAAAATTTAGTAATTTCTGTAAAATTAAATCATCCTTTTAAATCTGATAAAATTTGTTGGTATTTTGGTTTTTCAAACAAAATGATTTTAAGCTAATAATTTATTTACAAAATTATATGTTTCCTGTTGCTAAGTTGTTGACACGTGTTATCATCGACTATCTGAGTGGAAAAATGTGATATTTAAATTTGAAGAAGAATATCATTTCTGTCCATTTGACGTAATTACTACTTATTACAATATATGTTCCTGTCACATTGTACGTACGTAACGTCATTAAATTGTCATCACTTAAATATAATTTGCATTATTATAATATAAATAATATACGTCTAAATAATTAAAATTTATTTTGTTGTGAAAATATTTCTCACTGAAGTAATTCATTACGTAAAATTTGAATATGAATGTTTAAAAAAAAACTACGAATACGTCAAAAAAAAAGCTGAAAGATGAAATTTGTATGGAAATGATCGATGAAGAAGAAGAAATGATTTCAAGGAAAAGAAATAAAAGCAACTTTAGAATTATATAAAAATGATTATGAATTAGCAATTTAATTTTTGAATTCAGAATTACAATTCAAAAATTAGCATATTCAAAAGATGAAACAGCTAAACGTTAATTCGTTTGTAAGAGAAAACTGATAGAATTTAAGCTAAATATGCCACTAAGAGAGGTGTTTCAAAGAATTATCAAAAATAACGAGAATAAAAGACCACGGACATTTTGCGCATGAACAAGGACTATTGGGCTAATGAATGTCGCAAACTTATCCTGGGCTCAAATAGCAGATGAAATTCTGCTCATCGAAAGGTAGAATCGAAATATATGCCTTGTAAAAAAATAAAAATTAAAATCATTCAAGTTATCGGTTTTACCTATCTTCCAGAAACCCTAAAGATGGGTAGCTAGCTTGCTTTGCTTATATTTCACTTGAAATTTAGAAAATTTAGTTGCCGAAAGTTATCTTAAATTAGTGATAAGCGATAATGCTAGCCAAATGCAATTAGCTTTTTATGACCACTACAAAATAAAATATCAAACCAATAGATTTCCAAGAAAATAGCTTTAATTCGAGATCTAGCAAATCATCAAGAACGTTTTGATTTCTCGAGATTCTTGACTGAGAATATATGGCATCAGAATATGCCACGTTTGAATGCATCCATGAAGACATAAAGTTGAATTTCTTTCAAAGTAACTCGTTTGCATCTACTATTCATTCTTATTTTTCTTTATTTTCTTCATTTATAAGCTAATTAAATGTCTTTTTTTTTTCCAAAAATTCTGAGGTAATAATGGATCGTATTGAAATTTTAGGAAATGTAAAATTGTTCTTTTTTGTTTGGTCTCTATTATTTCAAGATTTTAGGGCTGATTTGATGGATATCCCTTTCTGGAATTCCAATTAACTTCAAAAATTTTCTTCAACTGGCATACACACCTGTTCAGGAATGATTTTGTTGAATGGAAGAAATTTTTTCTGATAGAAATAATTCCAATTGTAGAAATGCTTTTTCAATTGTAAAATGTTATTATTGTATTCTTTATCGTTTTAAGTTCAATTCAAATATTTGCTAAGTTTGATACGAAATAAAATATCAAACTTATTTCTAAATCTGGGAATGCAATCAGACCGGAAATGACTTATGTACAAAGTCAGCCGGATTCATTACTGAGGTTACTTCTTCAATTATATTAAATTCCATTTGTTCTTGAATAAATTTTATTGTAACGATTGAGAAATAATTAATTTATCACTATGAAGACATCTAATTAATGGTTTTTAATCTTTCGATCAAAGGTCATTGTTTCATTTTTTTTTTCAAAGGTCAAATTTGTTTCATTTTTTCCTTTTTTTTCAGATGAAAAACTGAAAAGGTCATTTTTGATTATAACATTTCATATCATTTTTTTTTTTTGAAGGTTTATCATATTTATCATTTAGACAAATCTTTGAACTTTTCCTGGGCCAAGATACTTGATATCTTTTCTATTTTGTTTAATGATTGTTCCTTTGAAATACGTTAACTGTTAATCGTTATCATAATTTGCTCTATTAGATCGTTCTCGAATATTTCATTTTTCCAGAATTTTTCTCTTTTGAATCTTTATTTCTAGAATTTTTCAATTTCTGAGATCATGATGATATTGTTTACATTCATCGATTTGGATTTCATAGCAGTTATGCTTAATTTATTTTTATTTACCTTTAGTTATAATTGTGAAATGTGCTTTCAGTTATTATAGAATTAATCATTTCTCATCAAAGGAATAAAATTTTAAAATTTGTTTCATTTTTTTTGTTTTTTTTTTTTCGGATGAAAAGCTGAAAAACTAATTTTTTATTATAACATTTCAAATCATTTTTTTCTTTTTTTTTTTTTAAAGGTTTATCATATTTTTCTTATAAAATACCATAAAAATGTAAAAATTATATAAACAAGAATGATTAATAAAATGATAATAATGAAGTACGAATCATTTATTTATATTATTCATATAATTTTTTTTTTTTATCTAATCAAGTTAAAATTATTTTTTTGATAATTAAATAAAACTTGAAAAAGAAATAATTTATGTTTATTTAAGCATTTCAAAAAAAAAAAAAATTACATTTGAAATTAAATTGTTGTTTGTGAAAGTATTAATTGGAATATGTATTATTCATTAAAAAAGACCAATTAATTAATGAAAAAAAAAAAAAAAATTATTGGGAAAAATATATGTTTGATTTTCTTTTTAAATATTTAACATATTTCTTTTTCAAAATTGAAACAAAAATTTTCTGAAATTCCTTCAACAACTTTTTATTATTAGTATGATTGTAAAACATTTTTTTATTGAATAATTTGAAATATTTATTACCAAAAATATTGACAAAATCGGTTCATAAATAAATTTTAATATCAGTTCGTTAAAATTTTTACATTAAATTTAATAATACATAAGTTAAATTATAATATTTGAAAGTAAAAAAAATTGATGAAATTATGATAATTCAAAATTATTCATAAAATAATTCATCAAGTTTTTTATCAAGTTATTATTATTATTATTATTATTATTATTATTATTATTATTATTATTATTATTATTACTGTTATTATTATTACTATGCTTTTATTGCTGACAATTTAAAACTAATTTATTTTTGCAATAATTGATAAAATAAGTATGATTAAATAGATTTCAATGTTTTCTGGTATAAAAAGTTTTTTTAAATTTAATGACAATAACAACAACACAACAAAAAAAAAAGGAAATGATAAAGTGGGAAAGTTAATTTTTTTTTTTTAAATCAATGAATTAAAAACATTTGAAATTGATGATTAATGAATGTTCAAGAAATTTTCAAATCATTATTTAAACTGATGTTTTAATTTACTTTGCTTTTCTTCTAACTAACTAATTACACCATTGAATAATGATCTCATCTCGAAGTATCATTTGCTTGCTAGTAATTATTTTAACACCAACTGCTTTCTCATCTTCAATTGTACGTTTTTCGTTTTCTTTCCTTTTCATTGAAAAAAAAATGAATTAAATTTGTGATTGAAAAAGTTATATTAATGAATGTGAAATAGATATGGAATTATGCAAATTTAAAATTTAAATTAACAATGATTTATCTAAGTTTGGAATCTAAATAGCTGTTAAATTGTATAAAGTTTGAATGTAAGTAAAGGAAACTAAATTATACGATGTTAGAATCTATTTATTATTCGAACGAAAAATAATGAATAAAGTAACAAATTAATTCTGAGTTAAGTAGTGAATTAAGTATAGAATTAATTCTGAATTAAGTAATGAATGAAGTAATAAATTAATTCTGAATTAAGTAATGAATTAAGTGATGAATTAATTCTGAATTAAGTAATGAATTAAGTAATAAATTAATTCTGAATTAAGTAATGAATTAATTCTCCCCGAGGATCATTTCATTTCATATATTTTTTATTTATTTTTTCTCCAATTCAGCATTATAAAAGAGTACAAGGAGCAGAAAAAAAGAAGCAAAATGTATGTTTTCTGAAGATGATACATGCGCCAGGGATGAATCCATTAATTCGAACAGATAAAAACGGAAAAACTTGCCGGATTAACTTAACAATTCCAGTTTGTCGAGGATTTTGTCCAACCTATGAAGTTTGTAGTTTATTTCTCTGTGTCTTTTTTTTTTTTATTATAAGATAATACATTATAGTACTTAAAAAAAAAAAAAAAAACTTTAAATGCTGATAACTTTTAATTTCCTTAACTTATCACTGTAAACATTGTTTAAAATTATCCTTTGTAAGTGTATTACCAGAAATAATTCTCAATCAAAATTTCAGTACGGAACTCATGAATTTCCTCATCGAAATCAAAAAAGTGAAGTATGCGTTCCGGAAGGTGGCAAATTTGAAAGTATAACGTTGACAGAATGTGACGATGAGGCTGATCCGATGATTCGTACTGTGACAGTATTACGTGGAGCAAAATGTGTTTGCAAAGCGTAAGTCAGAAAATTTATTTTACATTAATTTTAATAATAATGGTTGTCTGTTAAGAATGCAACCATAAATTGGCAAAAATTCTATCATATTTAATCAAAATTTTTTATTTTTACTTTTTCCTTAAATTTCAATAAATGGACGATTGTTATTTTCATTTACTCAATTGTAATTGAGTAAAGTTAAGCCTTAAAATCTTATCTTTAAACATCTCTCTGAATTTGATAAATTTTATCTTACAAAATATTCAAAAATTTTCACAACTTTTTTTCCAACACATTTTACATTGAACTTTTACTAGAAATTAATAAAAAAGCAGTTTTGAAATTTATTTCAAAAAAATTTTTCTTCGTTTTTTTCTTCAACGTAGTACTAGTAATGAGTAAAAGTAATTTTATTAAGTAAGTATCGATAATTATGGATGAAAATAATTTTACTAATTAATTATCTTTAGCCACCAAGTATTAAAGTATTAGATAATACATAGAATGCATGCAATTGAAAGAAATTAACGCTCGAAAATCAATTGAAAAACTGAATAAATTGAAATTAAATGGCAATTTTTAAAAATAGCTTCAAAAGATGAATAAAGTTAATAAAATAATTAAGAAATAATTGAAATTAAAACTGAGCAAAAAACCGAATTAAAAAAAAAATGAATCATTTAAAAAATTTTTTAATTAAACTGAAGTTTGGTCAATTTTATCCTTTCAATGAATTTTTGAACTAATTTGTGCTTTTTAGATGTGACAAAACGTTGATGAACTGCATGAAGAATAGTCTATTCAATTGATTTTATAAATTGAAACATACTTCTCTTCGTTTTTTTTTTTCAAAAAAAGAAAATTCATTTGTTTTGAATATATTTAAAAATAATAATGCAAAAAATATAATTCTTTTTTTTTTTTTTTTTTTTGTTCTACCTTCTATCTCATTTGCTATCCAATTTATTACTAGCATTTTCTAGAATCATATAAATAAAAATGAAATTGTTCACCTGATATTCAAATTCTTTTAAAAAAAAAACACAAAAATGTGTCAAAGAAAAATGTTGCAAAGTTAAATTGTAAAATGTGTAATTTTAAAATATAATTTAAATAAAAAAGCAAACAGTTAGTTATTGTATGTTAAAGTTTTAAGTTTGTAAAGAAATTTTATAATCTCCCATAAAGAATTGAACAATTTTCATTTCTTAAAAGACTATAAAATTTCTTTTGCTATTTTAATTTTACTAAATTCCACTATGCTTAATTTAAATGGTATCAAAAATTCAAAATGATCTTAGCAAAAAGAAAAGATGCTGCAAAAGAAAGAAAAATAAATCAAATGAACATTTAATCACTTTGACAGCAATTCCAAAATAATTGTTAAAATAAATTTTTCTTTTTTTGATAGAGATTTTAAAATAGCATAAAGTTTAACAGAAAAATTTTCAAAATTTCAACTATTTACCTTAGCAATCAATTGGAAATGCTACCAAGTAAGATTCAATTACATTCTTATATGGTAATTACTTAATAACTACTTGTAGTTAATTATTTATTACTAAAAAAGTTAAAATTTTAAACTCAAATATATATTAAAAATAAAGTTATTATAGAACAGGAAGCAAATAAAAGACTAAGCTAAACTAAAAATGAAAATTTCCTCCCCAAAAAAAATAATATAATTTAAATTTTAAAAAGACCAATGATAACCATTTAAAAAGCAATGAAAAAAATTGCGAAGATTTTTTGCTTAAAATTAAAAGTCTTTTTTTTTTTTTTGAACATAGATGTATCATAATATTTCAATTAATAAATACCATATTTAAATTATTTCTATATCAAATTTCCGCTATATATTTAATATATATTTAAATTGCTAAATATTAATTTATACTTATTTACTTCACTATCAAGAGATAATAAGTTTTTTAACAAATTATTTTAATATTCAATTTAATAATCACACAATTTATTCTATTTGTATAAATTTCTTATTTCAAGTTTTTTGTATTCTTAGAAACTCTCAAAATTTATCGAAATGTCTTTTTTTTTTCCTCTTTGAAATTATTCGCAATACTCTGTATTTTCTCTTTTGTTTACTTATTATTTTAAAGAGCTAATTTTTCACTTTGTATTTACTTCCATATCCAATAAATAAATTTTCAATTTACCATGAAACCACAGAAAATGATCTTTCACTAAACTGAAAGATCATTTTTTTGAAATTGAAATAAATGATGCTTTTATCTTGGATTAGTTGTATAAGTGCAACGGCTTTACCTATAGTCTTACCTATAAAAGATTAGTAATTCAGACTTGATAAGAGTAATGATAAAAAGATAAGTTAAAATAATTATATACTTTGCTGATGATGTACGGATAAAATGATGAAAATGTGTAAGATTTGATCATTCTCACTCACAAATATATCTAATTTCAAATGCTTATAAATGATAAAAAATTTTTTGTTTTTGGATTTTTCTAAAATTTATATTTGAAAGAATTTCTTGGTGCAATAATTTGCATTTCATAAAGTACAATTATAATCTGTAAATTCGATTATTGCATGTGGTTTTTTTTAATTTTTGCATTTATTGCATTACTGATAAAATTAAGCTTTAATTTATTCTAGCATATAACTTTATAAGGTTACCGTTTTATAAGTTATATACCAATTAATTAATTAATTAAAAATTTAATTCATATTGAAAAGTGCAAAAAAAAAAGAAATTGCAGTGGAAATTTTATTTTAAAATATAAATTTCTATGTTAGAATAATTTTAAAAATATATTCGTGCATTAAATAATTTATTCTTCTGATAAACTGAACTGATTTGATTTAACACAATGATTATTTGCAATAGCTCACTCAGTAAACACTATAGTAAAAGTTTAGAATTCATCCGGAAGAATTGCTTGGTAAAAGTTGGAACTTCAAATAAAATATCAAAAATAACTATTCAACTGATTAATTGATTATATGCAAATTTTGCAATCATTCTATTCGGATTCTTACGAGAAGTTAAACATATATACGAGTATTAACTTATGGAATCTAAATATTTAAATAAATTATTAATTCATCTCCTTTACTATCAGCAAATCAATATCATTATTTTCATTTTCATTATCAGAAAACAAATATACGATGATTTGCTCAATAGATAATTTAATAAGTTACGTAAACGTCGCATTGTTGCAGTAAATAAACCGGAAGGAATATTTTGAATAGTAGTACATTGAGCAAGAAAAAAGTTTATTTCATCTACTGATAACAGAACTGACAGTTAAAGCTTCTGAAGATGACAAATAATTTTTATTTCAAATTTCAATTTATGTAGAGTACTTCATTCATTGCATTTACAAACCACTACTGACAAATTTCAACTGTTTATCAAATATTCTTCAACTTCATGGAAGTCATTAATATTTTTGCAAATAATTAATTTAATAATTAAAAAATAAAAACTTTAGTAATGCTAATAATGCTATATATGCACACTGCACTTTCCTTCAAAATTAGCATCCACCATCAATAATCGAACATAACCGATTACTATTGTTGAAATGCTCAGACTGGTAAGCAACTTGTATAATTAGTTTTTTTTTTTTTTTTTTGGTAATGTCTTTCTTCAGAGAAAAGAAAGAAGCAAAAGTGTTGAATAAAGACAAAAAGCTGTTTCTTTAATATCAGCAAAGTTTCTATTAATCAGTATGCTTTTTTAATTTTACAAAATAACAAAACAAACCATTCTTTTAATTTATTTTATTGTATCAAAATTCATCCATTTAAATAGAAAGAACAATAATACGGTGAATATTCTGAAAGCAATGCATGTTGTCCCCAAGTTTTGGATGAAAAATACAATTTCGGAACACAATGCTTTCAATTCAATTCAACTAATTTCAACTGGAAATTTCTGCAAAAGCAGAATGAAACAAATAGCATATAAATGTCTTTAAATTTTGCAGCACAACTCAAACTATTCGGTCTATCAACAATTCGAGAACTGGGCAAAAATTAGAAAACTTAATGTTTCTTCATACTTTCTCAAAGGTTGCATAAGGAGAAGGTTCTTTTGCTAAAAAGAAACCTTTTTAGAAATATTATGCGATTCTGGAGGGTGGTTTTCACTGCCATAGAAAATAAGAAAAGAATTTGACCGAGATTTCTCGAATCATAAACTGCTTGATGCTTGGCTAATTCATAGAGTACACTTGTATTGTTGATTTGAATAATTGTTAAATAGTGTTTAAAGTTCTATACTCAACTGAAAACTTTAAAAATGCAAGCATTTACTGTTTTGATTCGCAGTCAATTACTTTTAGTTCAAATTTGATTAATCGAGATGGTGAAAATGAAGAAAGAAATCATTTTCCTTCTTATCATTGCTTTTTCATCTTGTACGAAGGTATCAAATTTGTTTCAATTTTTTGAAAATTGTCCTGTTTCCTTGTGGAACAAAGTAGGTTTCCTTTCTTGATAGTTCAGATCGTTGACTTCTTTGTCCTCGATACTGGTAGAATCTCAGATCTGCATTGGTTCCGTTCTGTGTATGTTACTGTTGGAGTCTTCGTGAAATATTTTATTATTCAAACCTCAAATTTGGCTAATTAAACCAAAGATTAACATTAAAAATTATACCACATACAATAATGAATTGATACATAACACACAAATGTAACTTAATTATAAAACATTTAAAGATATAAGCAAGCTAGACACCTCGCAACCGAGCCATACCAAACAAAGAACTACAATGAATGGCTTTGTAAGGAAGAAAATTGGGAGGGATGTTATGGATGTTAAGGTTACCAAGTGGATTAAAATCACTTAAAACAATAGTCTTTGTTCATTACGTCATAGCTTCGCCATTGCGGTGACAGCTCTAGTTTCAGTCGTTCCATTAAGAGATCAAACTGTCTTTTTGTGAGTAAATTAGCATTTTCACTATCACAAATTTTGTAATTTTTATTTTCTAGTTTTTTTAAGGCAACAACTTCGGGAAGTACAACAACAACAACAGCCTTTTTCGCGTTAACCTCTATAATAACAACAACAGCAACTTCTTCAACTTCTTTTACATCGACTGCATTTTCCACATCAACTCCAACTACAATAACAACATCTTCAACAGTTTCTACAACAACAACAACGACCCTTTCCACATCAACACCAACTACAACAAGAACATCTTCAACAGTTTCTACAACAACAACGACCCTTTCCACATCAACACCAACTACAATAACAACATCTTCAACAGTTTCTACAACAACAACAACCCTTTCCACATCAACTCCAACTACGACAAGAACATCTTCAACAGTTACTACAACAACCTTTTCTACATCAACAACAACTACAATTAGGACATCCTCCTCTTCAGCAATTTCTTCTACAACAATAGCGTTTTTCACACCAACTCCAATAATTGCAGTAAGACCAACTTCTCCTTCGACAATTTCTTCTAGAATAGCAACCTTTTCCACATCAACACCAACTACAACAAGAACATCTTCAACAGTTTCTACAACAACAACAACCCTTTCCACATCAACTCCAACTACGACAAGAACATCTTCAACAGTTTCTACAACAACAACAACCCTTTCCACATCAACTCCAACTACGACAAGAACATCTTCAACAGTTTCTACAACAACAACGACCCTTTCCACATCAACACCAACTACAACAAGAACATCTTCAACAGTTTCTACAACAACAACGACCCTTTCCACATCAACTCCAACTACAACAAGAACATCTTCAACAGTTTCTACAACAACAACGACCCTTTCCACATCAACACCAACTACAACAAGAACATCTTCAACAGTTTCTACAACAACAACGACCCTTTCCACATCAACTCCAACTACAACAAGAACATCTTCAACAGTTTCTACAACAACAACGACCCTTTCCACATCAACTCCAACTACAACAAGAACATCTTCAACAGTTTCTACAACAACCCTTTCCACATCAACTCCAACTACAACAAGAACATCTTCAACAGTTTCTACAACAACCCTTTCCACATCAACTCCAACTACAACAAGAACATCTTCAACAGTTTCTACAACAACAACGACCCTTTCCACATCAACACCAACTACAATAACAACATCTTCAACAGTTTCTACAACAACAACGACCCTTTCCACATCAACTCCAACTACAACAAGAACATCTTCAACAGTTTCTACAACAACAACCCTTTCCACATCAACTCCAACTACAACAAGAACATCTTCAACAGTTTCTACAACAACCCTTTCCACATCAACTCCAACTACAACAAGAACATCTTCAACAGTTTCTACAACAACAACGACCCTTTCCACATCAACACCAACTACAATAACAACATCTTCAACAGTTTCTACAACAACCCTTTCCACATCAACTCCAACTACAACAAGAACATCTTCAACAGTTTCTACAACAACAACGACCCTTTCCACATCAACTCCAACTACAATAACAACATCTTCAACAGTTTCTACAACAACAACCCTTTCTACATCAACTCCAACTACGACAAGAACATCTTCAACAGTTTCTACAACAACCCTTTCCACATCAACTCCAACTACAACAAGAACATCTTCAACAGTTTCTACAACAACAACGACCCTTTCCACATCAACTCCAACTACAATAACAACATCTTCAACAGTTTCTACAACAACAACCCTTTCTACATCAACTCCAACTACAACAAGAACATCTTCAACAGTTTCTACAACAACCCTTTCCACATCAACTCCAACTACAACAAGAACATCTTCAACAGTTTCTACAACAACAACGACCCTTTCCACATCAACTCCAACTACAATAACAACATCTTCAACAGTTTCTACAACAACAACCCTTTCCACATCAACTCCAACTACAACAAGAACATCTTCAACAGTTTCTACAACAACAACGACCCTTTCCACATCAACACCAACTACAATAACAACATCTTCAACAGTTTCTACAACAACCCTTTCCACATCAACTCCAACTACAACAAGAACATCTTCAACAGTTTCTACAACAACAACGACCCTTTCCACATCAACTCCAACTACAACAAGAACATCTTCAACAGTTTCTACAACAACCCTTTCCACATCAACTCCAACTACAATAACAACATCTTCAACAGTTTCTACAACAACCCTTTCCACATCAACTCCAACTACAACAAGAACATCTTCAACAGTTTCTACAACAACCCTTTCCACATCAACTCCAACTACGACAAGAACATCTTCAACAGTTTCTACAACAACAACCCTTTCCACATCAACACCAACTACAACAAGAACATCTTCAACAGTTTCTACAACAACAACGACCCTTTCCACATCAACTCCAACTACAATAACAACATCTTCAACAGTTTCTACAACAACAACCCTTTCCACATCAACTCCAACTACGACAAGAACATCTTCAACAGTTTCTACAACAACAACGACCCTTTCCACATCAACTCCAACTACAATAACAACATCTTCAACAGTTTCTACAACAACAACCCTTTCCACATCAACTCCAACTACAACAAGAACATCTTCAACAGTTTCTACAACAACAACAACCCTTTCCACATCAACTCCAACTACAATAACAACATCTTCAACAGTTTCTACAACAACAACCCTTTCCACATCAACTCCAACTACAACAAGAACATCTTCAACAGTTTCTACAACAACAACAACCCTTTCCACATCAACTCCAACTACGACAAGAACATCTTCAACAGTTTCTACAACAACAACGACCCTTTCCACATCAACTCCAACTACAACAAGAACATCTTCAACAGTTTCTACAACAACCCTTTCCACATCAACTCCAACTACAATAACAACATCTTCAACAGTTTCTACAACAACCCTTTCCACATCAACTCCAACTACAACAAGAACATCTTCAACAGTTTCTACAACAACCCTTTCCACATCAACTCCAACTACAACAAGAACATCTTCAACAGTTTCTACAACAACCCTTTCCACATCAACTCCAACTACAACAAGAACATCTTCAACAGTTTCTACAACAACCCTTTCCACATCAACTCCAACTACAACAAGACCAACTTCTCCTTCGACAATTTCTTCTAGAATAGCAACCTTTTCCACATCAACTCCAACTACAATAACAACATCTTCAACAGTTTCTACAACAACAACTACACTTAAAACATCCACTTCAATTTCTTCTACAACAACAGCTTTTTCTACATCAATTCCAATATCAAAATTCACTGCTTTAACAACTTCTACAGCAACAAAAATTCTGACAACTAAGAAGCCAAAACCGCAACACAAGAAAAAAACTGCTCCTCAACTACTTCTTATACAGCAGCAACTTCTGATCCGGAAATTACAAGAGGAATATCCTTATATCTATAAACTTTTGCAACAACAAAATCCTTTGCTTCAGCAACTTCTACAACTACAACAGCTTCTTCAGAAACTACAACATAAGCAGCCGCACCTTCAGCATCTTCTCCAACAACAACAACAACTTCTTCAGCAACTTATACAACACCAACATAAGCATAACTGTAAACATCAAATACAAAGTCTTCTTCAACAACAGCATAGTATCCTTCAACAACTTCAGCATCATCAACCATTTCTGAATCAACTTCAGCACCAACAACGTGTCATTCTTCAGCAACTTCTTCAGCGACAACAGACTGTCCAATATCTACTGCAGCAACTACCTCATCAACAACAATTATTTCAAAAACAACAACCTATTCTTCAACAATTTTTGCAACAGCAATTGCTTGCTCTTCAGCAGACGCAACAGCAGCTATTGGTTCTCCAACAACAACCATCTGTTCTTCAACAACAAATGCAACAAAATCTCCAGCAACTTCAACATCATAATCATCATGATCATCAAATTCAACAGCAACAACAACTTATTCAACTGCTTCAACAACACCAAACTGTATTAAAGCAACTTCAACAACAAAAACAATTACTTCTTCAGCAGCTTCAACATCAAGTGCAACTGCTTCAGCAATTGCAACAGCAACGGCCTTCTCTCCAGAGATTATTCCAAGAACAACAATCTCTTCTTCAACAACTTCTACAGCTACAACAACTTCTTCTTCAGCAATTCCAACAACAGCAACCACTTATTCAGCAGCTCCTCCAACAACAACAACTTCTTGTGCAGCTTGTACAACAACAACAGCAACTGCTTCTACAAATGCTCCAGCAACCTCAGCAAATACCTAATCTCCTTCAACAACTTCTCCAGCTACAAGTCCAATTCCAACAACTTATGCAACAACAACAACAACTTCTTCAACAACTCCTGCAAAAGCAACCTTCACTTCAGCAACTTCTCCAACGACAACAGCCTGTCGTTGGAGAACTTCTGAAAAGCAAACAAAGTCTTCTCCAAAAGTTACAACAGCAATTGCCCCTTTTGTTTTATATCCAATAACCATTTCTCAAACAATTACAGCATCAACAATAAGTGATTTCTTTTTCTTATGGGATATCTGATTTTTATATATTCATTTTCTCTAAATTCGATTACATATCAACACGCCACATTATTTATTTCTTTTTCAAAATTTTCACATAAACTTCTTCAATGATTTCTCGCTTCAGTAATTCCTGATCAAAGTATTTGATCTAAATAATCATCAACTTCTCTATAACAGCAATTATGTTTTACAATGAACTTTTATTATAATTGCAAAATTATGAAAAATATCTGCACAGAATTTTTTTCGATATGTAGATTTTTATGAACGCCAAATAAATTGCATTAGAGTATATTTTTCATATATGTTGCTTTAATTTTAAATTTATGCTTATTAAACTGAAATTGAGCAATAAATTATATTGCAAAAATTAACAGTAACCAAAATTTTTACACGTACAACTGTCAAGTTAAGGTTTTATTTTCGCAATTTTCTCAATATCATTAGTCTGAATCAAACTTTTCAACAATGGTTATCACATTATCTCCAGGCTCATATAACTGATGGGAATGTTTGACCAATTAAGAATCACTTTATTGTAATATTAGAAAAAATGAAAATATGCTACAGCTATAGTTTTGCCCACAAAACATAAAACTTTTTATATAAAACCCTTTAAAAGATCATTTTCAGTAGTAGAAATGCAAAATTTGTTTGCTTCTTCAAGGCAACAAACAATTAATAATAGCTGAAATTTTTTTTTTTTTTTAAATGCAAAATTTCTTTAAATAAATAAATAAATACTAGCATTTCTCTTAAATAATTCTGCATAACTCAAAATATCCTGCATAAAAAATTAGTACATACTTTCAGAAAAGTAGAAGAGATTTTATATGTGGAAAAAATTTGCTCAAATCTATCAAGACAGAAATCTATAGACTAAAGATTGTTATATTTGAATATTCTTAAGATCGACAATTATTTCAGTTAAAATTGTATTATTACAATTAACAAAAAACTTCCAAATTGCAATTAAATGCGTACCGTCGAAACGCAGTGCTATAAAATATTGTATTTGATAATCTCTTCCACTCATTTAAAATTTCATTCCGTTGGAAATTAACGATCACTATATGAGAAGTAATTCCTACTGTCTGACGTTAGTTAATTTTGAAAGACAAAAAAAAAAAAAAAATAAAATATTTTGCAGAGAATTTATTTCGGAGATTTGGCACTGTTGATTTTTTTTTTTTTTTGTTTTTTGTAAGAGTCAATTAGTTTAGAAGAGGTTTCTTTATTGCTTGATTTTGAGATGGATAATTTGTTGTATACATTGATAGCATGCAGTAATGCAGAAATATTGCAAAGTCTTTATTAACAAATAGAAACAGATAGAGCAGAATGAAAAAATTAAGTTTCTTATAATAGAAAATAAATGAGTTGGCTAAAAAAGTTAAAACACGAATAGTAGAAAATTTTTTGATAAATAGGTTACTACTAGTATTAACTTAATGTTTGCATAAGTATATATAGTTAAAATGAGAGTGGTCATGCTGAATCATTTGTTAAATTTCAGGAATTATCATACAGCAAATAATGTTAATTTGATATAAAAAAGGAAAAAAAGAGATGGATAATTTAAGGTGACGAACATCAAATCGGAAACAATCTAATGTGACAAAAATCAGATTGGAAGCATAGGATTTAAGGATTTAAAATGTAAATATTTGAGCGATTACGAATGAAAATGTGAATTCAAACATTTCCATATAATTCGTTTGCAAAAGAATCATCGCATCATAATATCTTCATAATATTTTAGAGTTTTACGATATTAGAAATTCACGACATCAGCATTCGATTTCATTCGTTCCAGTAGTTCCGCTCCACCGAAGCAATCTTTGATCTACGCCAAATTTCAACCAATTTCTCTGCTACAAACTATCTGTGAATTTGATACTACTTATTAATTCTTATAACGTCAAGCAATAAGTTTTTATTCCACTCTACTCGTTTGCATTAAAAGGAGTTCATCATTAGCCAAACAAATTCTCGAAAAAATATTGCTGTCACGAGCAGAGTTGTCTGCCACTATAGTCAGAAGCGCGCAATTGGCAAAGAAGAAATTGAAGAAATTTCTGGATGAAATTAAGGAAATGAAACTATTTATCACAAATTTTCTAGAGCAACCAGATCAAAAGTTGTCAGAAGATGCCGACTGTATATAACAAGAGGAGAGTATTAGCTGCTTCGAATTATATATGGGAATCGATTGGGAGAATATATATCAGGATGATAACGACTTCTTGGAGAGAAGGAGAAATTCGCATAGATAATCGATAGTGACAAAGGTACTTTTAATTTGATAAATGAATGACGGTATAGAAGCTAAAATAATTCTGTGTATAGGAATAATATCAGGTTAACTCTCAACGGTCAATCCTGGAATACGAAGTAAAAGCTGACCCGTCAACAAGAACTATCCTAATTAGCTACCCACATAGCATTAAATTTATCTCAATTATCACTAGTGATACATAGGATTTATAGAGAGAAAGAGAGAGAGAGAGAGAGAATTTTGGAGCAATTTTTTGTATTGCAGTGCATTTCCTGAAGTATCTAATGTTTTTGACTAAGAGAAGATGCAAGAAATATGATAATGCTCCAGAAAACTAAAACTTATAAAAAAAGTTGTGAAAGAGAAATTTGGAAAATCACTTGCCACTAGGAAGAAAAAAAAAACTGCATTCTACCAACAAAAAAAGCTAAGAAACTAACTGTCGAAGCAATCGAGAGAATACTTGGGTAGTTAAAAGGGATAGACGAGAATCTAAAGCAGAAGAGCATCAAAGTTATTATTGAAAGGAGATTGCCTGTTCGGATGTTGATGAAGTATATAAACAAAAGGAGGAATCAAATTCCGATCAAATTTCGACAGCTCCTCGAAAAACTAATCACAGGAAAGGAAGAAAATCAGAATTCAAGTCAAACATAAATCAAAGATCCTAGCAGATAAAATAAAACAGAAACCTCGGCTTCTAGTTACAATAAAACCGCAAGGATCAAATGACAACAGACTTCCGAAAGAAATTAAGAAAGGAAGTTCAGACGAGCTTTCAGTCAAGAGAAGGCTCATTTGTTTTGCAGCAAAGATCATTGGGATGACGAAGTCAAATTTACTCCATCTTGAAGTAGCAGATTAAATGCCTGAGAAAAGTCAAAACATCCCTAAGTTGTCTGTCAAATAAGCCATATAGCAAAAGATTGAAGAAAACCGAAGAAATATAATTTATTTCAAAGACATTTTATAAAATCAATTGAATAGGTTATTTCTTCATGCAGTTCATCAACTTTTGTCACATCTAAAAACCAAGGAAATATATTTTATTTCAAAGACAGCATAAATCAACGCTATATATTATCACCGATGTCTGAAAACTTAAATAAAGAATGGAAATAGTCCGAATAGCACTTGTTTTTAACAAAAAAAAAAAAAAAAAAAAAAAAAAAAACAAAACAATACTACGATGAAATGTTAAATTGTTAACCCATACCTAATGAACGATGTTTTTATCATCGATACAAAAATGATCAAAAAATCAACAAGAGTTAGCATAGAAGAACTATTGTCACCAATTTCTTTTTGACAACAAAAAAAAAAAAATACAGAGGGCTGTTTTCTTGATGTCTCAAACTTGGATATCTAACTTTATTCATGAAATGCTTAACAAAAATAACGAGCTCGAGCTCAATTTAAATGGCAATTTTAATGACGATATCAGTAACAGGAAGGGAAATACAGAGACTACATCAGATATTGCAACTCCAAAGGATTTTAGAAAAATTTAATCTAAAGGATTTTAGATAAATGAATGTGATGGATCGAACTGTACGCTATAAGATCACAAGAAATGGCGTCTTTGGTATGTTCACTATCGGTTCAGCGTTCTTTGTTAGCGCAATGTGAAATAAAACTTAAAACAGTGATGATGTCTGGTTTTAAAAAAGGGATTTAAAATAAAGTACTGCTTTCTTGTTTTTCTTGTTTGCTACTCGCGATATCAGCGCGACAGTCATAAACTCAAAACAAGCTCAGAATATTAGCTATTCATGGAAAAAACAAGTCAGAAGGAGCAGACTCGAAAAATGGCACAAGAGTGTGTATCAGAGATTTCTAACAAATAGTACG